TACAGTGTCAGTCAGGGGGTCCCGGGCCTTGTTGATGAAGCCGGTAGCAGAGGGGAAGAAACTGTTCAGGTGGAGAGAGGTTTTGGTCCTGATGGAGCGCAGCCTCCTACCAGAGGGGAGCGGGACAAACAGTTTGTGTCCAGGGTGGGAGGGGTTGGCCACAATCTTTCCTGCCCCCCTCAGGGTCCTGGAGGTGTGCAGGTCATGGAGGGATGGCAGATTGCAGCCGATCACCCTCTCTGCAGAGCGGATGACACGCTGCAGCCCTGTCCTTGGCTGTAGCTGCAGCGTACCAGATGGTGATGGAGGAGGTGAGGAATGACTCGATGATGGAAGTGTAGAAGTTCACCATCATCGTCTTTGGCAGGTTGAATCTCTTCAGCTGCCTCAGGAAGAACATCCTCTGCTGGCAACACACTATCACTCCCTGAACGTCCAGGAGTGACGCTTGGTCAGGGTCCCGTGGCATGCAGTTGTGACGCGCCGAGTCTCCTTCAGCTTCATAAACGGATACAAAGAGCTTTCAACTGATTGCAATGTATTCCCATCGGCGGCGGTATTTCACGCTCAGGGAAGCACCGCATCGGTCCATGTCGGCGGCATCTAAAGGCAATGTGAGCCTGCATTAAATATTACACATCTGTCGTAGTTCTTTATTTATCTACAGAAATCGGGCCTCAGAATAGACCGGAAACTATTCTTTTACCGTTCTGTTTTAATTTCACAATGAAGTTAGTAGTAATATTTAGTTTTGATATTATTATAGAGTAATTGCAATGCAGGTAGATTGTGTTGCTTTTTAATGACTGTTTAAAATGCCTTTTTCTTAATGTCTTTCATTTTTGTAAAGCACTTTTGAATGTGTTTGAATATATTTTATGAAAACATTTAAATATTAAGAGTACATACAAAATAGTGGGAACGTAGAAGGTCAATGATAGAAATATAGAATAGAACATATCAAGAATATACTGTAAATTATATCTAGAATAAAACAGTTTAGTGCCGGATGTACAAAGATATTAATAGGAGGATGTGCAAAACAGACAAACTAATTAGGCTTTATTTAAACATTAAATAATACTTTATGTTAAGGTCTTCTTTTAAATGTAAGCAAAAAGCTTTCGGGGTATCTGCTAAATATTAAGCCTGACAAACTACTTAGCGTTTAATATATTGCATGGTTTGTTTTGGGACTTGACAATCAACTATGTTGAAGCACTTATTTTAACCGATATTATACATATTTATTATACTCTTATAAGATGTATGTAGATAGAATAAGAAATGTGCAGAATATGACAGTTTAATGGTGGAGGTACACACATATTGATAGATGTCTTGTTGAGGAACCTATGACCCAAGTTTGTCATCATTGCATAACTACACCGTAGATGTGTATGATATGTCAATAAACCTTTGGAAATTTTTGAAAGGGATGTGCAAAATAGCCATTATATACAGTTTTTGATGAACGATTGGAGAATAACGAGTAATGAATATGCTTTATAGGGATCTGCAGATACATTTTTTGTCTTCTCAAGCACCAACTATCAAATATCTCGCCTCATTGTTGGCACTTGACAATCACCTTCCCTGAATTTTAATCAGGTGTAACTAAAGTCTGATTTAAGGGTTGTTTATATTTCACATGATTAATCAGAATCTGTAAAGTAACTAAAATAAATGTAGTGGAGTAAAAATACCAGGTTAACCTTAAAGAAAGCCCACAGGATTATAAAAGCCCACAGGATTATCAAAGACCCCCATCACCCCAGCCACAAACTGTTCTGTCTGCTGCCGTCTGGCAGGCGGTACCGCAGCATCCGGACTAAAACCACCAGACTCAGGGAGAGCTTCATCCTACAGGCCATAAGACTATGAAACACCTGAACTTTAAAACAACGTCCATAACATTCATCTGGCTGCTACTTATACATTATTTGTCAAATATATCATATTCCAATCACTTGTATATAGACTCTTAATGCACTATTTCACTTTTTACTATTTTACTTTTTGTACTTACTTGCACTATTTTTTCTGTGTATCTGTTTTATTGTGTTGCACTGTTGGAGGAGCCTGTGACCTAAGGGGGGTAGGACACCTTCGATTCCTCTTTTGAATAGTGTGCCGTCGATGGGATTCATTCCATTTCAAAGTGTTGTTTGACGCTCGTGTAAACTTTGTGCACTGCCACTCCAACATCCAATCACAGAGCTTGAGGACTAATCACAGGGTTTGTCAAGCAAAGCACATGGTGTAGTCCCAAATGATAGCTGAGGATTCTGGGTATTGTAGTGTCTTCTGCCATCCTAAACTCCGAAAACATATTTGTTTCTCCGAATTGAAGGGGAAAAATACAAAAGCATTGTACACAATTTAAACCAATCAATGTTGTGTAATCAACAAGGATAATCTGGTGTTGATGAGTAGTGCAGACATCACTGTCAAATCGACAGTAAAGAGGATACTTACTTGTCATGAAGCATAGCCGGGATGATGGTGTAGAAGGCAGAGCTGAAGTCCACAAACAGGATCCTGGCGTAGGTACCTGCTGTGTCCTGGGGCCTCATTTATAAAGGGATATACGCTCAAAAAATGGCGTACGCCAGTTTCTATGCAATGTTTGCGATTTATAAAATACTAACTTGACGGGAAAACGTGCGGTCTTCCACGCAAACTCTAAACCATGCGTACGCACTAAGCACAAAAACGGGAGAGACGAGAAACTGCGACACCGTTGGCAGAAGGAAGAATGGAGAGAAATATGTGGAAATAATACCATAAATAAAATGTTACCTCTCATTTATCATATATGAAGAATTCATTTTCAAACATTGATTAAAGCCAATCTTAAAATGATTAAACAAACGCCTGTTTGAGACTCCTCAGTGCACACAAAAACATAACTTGGAGAAATAAATAAATACGGATATGTTATTTAAAACCACCTCGAATATGTTGTGTTAATGTTATGAAATGTTTTCTCATAAATGATGCGGTAAGCAGGAGGACAGAATTACGTCTAAATTGACGCCGTTTTGCATGCATAGGTTGTAGATACGAGCATGGTTTTATATACTATCACTTTTAATCATGTTTTGTGCCATTTGCCAAGACTTGATAAGTCGCTCATAAAACACAGGAGGTATGGAAGCTAAGAACAACATATGTGGTCAATTGTACAGCTAATATAACACAACACATTAGTTGTATTTCCTTTAACTGGTGGATTATGGATATATAGTTGCTGATCGACAGCTGGAACACAAACCACCAAATACAAAACAATAATTCAGATCCAGTCGTCATGACTCCACTCCGGTGACGATCCGACCTCCATGCTGCTACTCTGGTTCAAACTGCATCCACCAAACAATATGATTTATCTCGACCTCCCCAAAATAACCAAAATCTGACACGGTGTGAGATGTCTTTTTTAGCTGTTCTGTCGTCATTTCCTGCATCTTCTTCAGGCAGTCAGTCAGAATGAATGAATGGGCGTTTCTTTGCCTATTAATAGGCAAATATGGGAGCGTTATGTGAAGCCCGCAAAAGCTGCGACGCATTTAGAGTTGATTGTGATTTATAAAGGGAAACAGGCGTGTTTTGTGAATCGGAAAATGTCGGAAAATGTCTGTACCTATTTGTTTGCTTTGTACTACGTAAGCAACCTTCCCACGTGAATCCTATGTAAGGCGTTATAAATTAGGCCCCAGATGCTGAAGGAGGAAGTGAAGAGCCACGTTGACATCATCATCTACCGACCTGTTGGCTCTGTAGGCAAACTGCAGGGGGGCCAGGAGGAGGTCAGTGATGGTTTTAAGGTGGGACAAGGTGCTCAAAGGACTTCATAACCACGAAGGTCAGGGCGACGGGTCTGTAGTCCTTTAATCCTGTGGTCCTTGTTTTCTTCGGTACCAGGACGATGGTGGAGTTTTTGAAAATGTATGTGAACACTGGGGACAACTGATCAGCACAGTGCTCCAGGATGGAGGGGGAGATCGGGTTACATTTGAAGCTACAGACTAAGAATCAGCACTTTAGTAACAGGGCAGCCTGAGGTCGAGCACAACCAGACTAAAGAACAGCTTCGTCCACCAGGCTGTCAGGAGGCTGAACTCTCTCTTCCCCCCTCCCCTCTCTCCCTTCTATCTCACCTCTCCACCCTGCCCCCACTGGACCGGGACTTTAACAACCCCCCACACTCACAAAAAAAAAAAGCCAGCACCAGTCACTTTTACGCTGCTATGGACATTTTTGCACTCCCATTTGCACTATGTACATCAACTTTTTTTTTTTCAATATATCCTGCTTACTTGAAGTAAACGGTTATTTTGTGTTTTTTTTGTAAATTATTGAGTGTTCTTGCATTTTAATGTGGGAGTGTTTTTCTACCTCGGGACTGTGGGAAACAGTATTTCGATCTTTCTAAGTGTACAAACATATATTGAGATTGACAATAAAGTTGACTTTGAGGGCTAAAATAGTTCGTTTTTTATAGATATGGCCCTATAATATATTGTTCAAACATAGTTAAGTGAACGAGTGTTGGGCAATGCATGTCAGGTGATGGTGCTTAGTGATTGGTTAAGAGGACTATAAAGTAAAGATGACTGCAGTTCACAAGGTTTTATGCATACATACTAAGCAGAGAAATATATAAAGAAAAACTAACTGCAGGACAAATAATAAAATCTATTAAATATACAAACAGCTGGGTGCTTTATTGATTAAAAATAAGCACAATGAAACAATAGTGTGCAGAATAAAACAGTGGCATGTGAACATTATTAATTGATAAGGAAAGAATGTTTAACTTGCATGATTTTCTACCTTCACACACGTGATTCCACATTTCCATTCCATGGGTCCGGCTGATTGAAATTGACCCAGTGCCAGAGTCTGGACCTCTGCAGGGGCACACCACTATTTGATTGAGTATTTTTAATGTCATGTAATTTACACAATTATCTCATGTTTCTTTGCATGTCTAGATCCACCTGACCCTGAGCAGAAACACCATCAGTCAGATCAGGTCTTATGCCTTCGCTGACCTCCAGGACCTCCATGCTCTCCACCTAGACGCCAACCGCCTCACCACCCTGGATGACTCCCACTTTCAGGGCCTTGTGAACCTGCGGCACCTCATCCTGGCCAACAACCAGCTGCACAGCATATCTGAGGGAGCCTTTCAGGTACTGTAACGGAATTCACTTCATCAACAATGTCACTCTCAAAATGCATGACACCAAAACAAAACATCTTGAAACTGATGGTTCTCCTTTTTTCATTCAAATAAACACACAGATGATATGCCTAAACTGCTATAAAACAATTGCACTACTATTGCTGCTCTGCTTTGAACCACAAACTACTGTATAACTGCATCATGATTGAGTTTGTTTGTTCACGCAGTGGTGAAAAAAATACAAAATTCTTCTTTTAAGGTAAATGTAGACATTCAAGAAAGAAAAATAGTGCACTACAAACGTTTTTAGATTGTATATGGACAAAGTTTAAACAATCTCAATTAAGGTACTAACACCAAAAAACCTTTTCTGGAAACAACAGTGAAACACTCACTGGGTAAGTCACTCTATTTCAGATTCTATTGACATTGACTGAAAGAAGGGCAATTCCTCTGATTTAGTAAATATCTGTGAACAAATAAAAAGCTGTTTTTTAACAACTTGAAACGCTTCTATTATTGACATGTATACCTATAATATGTGGTGTCTGTGCATTTCAGATGAAAGCAAACAACAAAAGCATTATTTTTAACTGGTTTATGAGTTTTTATTTTTAAATATTAATGATAATGCCCTTGGTAAAAGTAATAAGTGTGGTGCCAATATGAAAAATGAATTCCCCAAATGTAACTATTTTAAATCAGTCTGTCTGCCTTTTCGAAAAAAGATTCTCAGGTCCTCGGTCCTTAGAAAAACAACTGTTAGCCTTTTCATTAAATTATGCTGTCCTTTCTCTGTAAAAGTTCTGTGTTGCAAAGCACAAGTCAAATTCAGTTTGTTTTACAATACAAAAACATAGGTGATAAAACAAAATAAAAATGTGCTATCAAGTCCAAGTCATTCCTAAATCAGACTTTTACCTTTTAATTAAAAATCACACATTTCTTAAAGTTTGAACATTTTAACCAGCACACAACTCAAGTACACAACGCGAAAATGTTACATGTTATATGCTTCTTACACTGGTTGATCCAAGCTAAAACTGAGCTAAAGCATTTTCAGGCATTTCTCTTGAAAGGAAATTAGAGGGAATATTTTGAGTGGACAACATTGATAATGACAATGATCTCAATCCATCCAACCTTTGATTACTCCTTTTATCTAATTTTCTTTCTCAACCTGTACAAATAATACTTTGTTAATTGCTGAATTGCACAGCTGCAAAACGTTATGTGTGTGTCGTTATTATAATAAACCCAACTAAATTTGAATCGGACCTTGGGATTACCGCCAGCCAGCGGCCGTAATCCGTAAAAGCGCTCCGGAATCTTTTATTATACTCAAAGCCTCTGCCTTTGTCCCCTCCTGCAGGACTTCTCGGAGACACTCGAGGATTTGGATTTAAGCTACAACAACCTAGTGGACATCCCCTGGGACACCATCGCCCTGCTGGTCAGCGTTAACACCCTCAGCCTCGACCATAACCTCATAGAGAGCGTCCCAGAAGGAATCTTCTCCAACTTGCATAAACTGGCCAGGTCAGGGTCTTATGATCAAACTTTACAGCATCAGCAGCCAGCGTGGGAAAAGGCCAAGCATTAACTTAAGCTTTCTACTGGAAATCCAACTAAAAGTGTCCATTGAGAGCATCTTCCTGCTTCCTTTTGCCTCTAAATTCAACGTTATTCTTTATGCTATGCATTGCCTAAGAACTCTACAGTTCCACAGGAACATTTTGGTCTTTAAGTAAATAAGTAAATAAAATACTGTAACCATTGTCTAGTTGAGTAATCAGTAAAGTATGTGTGTGTATAGGTGTGTTAAAATGTGCAACAAACAAAACAGCAGCTGTGTTTGAAAGAAGAGGGACACTCCAGTGTGGGATGGTATTGGGCCTTAATCTAAACCAGGGGTGCCCAACCTTTTTTTAACCGAGAGCTACTTTTAAAGTTGCCAGTCTGCCGAGATCTACCAGTCCAAATAGAGAGGCGTAGCCATTACTGACAGCCTACTACCAGGTAAATACACACTTCTACTTGTATAAAACTGACCTTTGTACGATTAATACTTCATAAAATACTGCAGATCCTTTATCTTACCTCTTTCTAATCTGCACACATACAAGTATTTAACTGAAGTTACACAACAGAGTTGTTGATACTGAGTTGGAGTTTATCCACATGTCACATACTACAGTGGGTAACGTTTTCAAGAAACATTGAAGTGCTGCCACATATGACACAGGAACAAAAAGAAAATACTCTGAACCCCTTCTTTGCCATTATATAAAAATAGTGTTGCTACAAAAGTATAAATTAGGCTTACTAATAAGACAACTCAGATCTGAAGCTACTGAGGAATCTGCTGCCAAAGTGCAATAAAAAAGACAACATGAATAGAATCAAACCCTTTTTTGTTGTTGCATTTTAGTAGAGTATAAAAATAAATGCCTTTAAAATAGGATGCTAGCAACACTAGTTTCTTAACCTGAATTGATAATAGACTATAATAAATGTAAGTTTGAATTCTTATACCATTTTGTACAATAATTATAATGAATAAGTTCAAACAAACTAAAACTTACAGCTGATTAATAACGGTATCTAACTTGAGTTTTTATTATATCAAAAACCTGTTGAAATGCTACTGTTATTTTTACTATCCCCCAAAAGCGCGTCGGCAGCCTCCAGGAATGCTTCTTTCACAACTTCGCCGTCTTTGAAAGACTTCATGTGTTTCGCAAGAACGTGACTGACATGATAAGATGCTATGGTAGCAGCCTTGCTCTTGTTGTTGGGCCTGGTGGAAATGGACTGCTGTGCATTTAGCTGTCCTTTCAGGCCCCTCCCCTTTTGGGAGCGTAGGGCATAATTAGGAGGGAATTCCGTCTCGTAGCGTTTGTGCACTGTTTTGAAATGCCGCTCCTAAATAACCCTTCTTCGATAAAGCCACGCTCGCATTGCAGATGAGACAGATGGACTTTGAATTGGTACAGATACAAAAATAATCATCCTCCCACTCGGAGTGAAAATTATATATTTTGGGCTTTTTTGCTTCTGCCATAATTGCGTTCTATATCGTATAAGGCTTCGCCCTCTAAGGCTATCGCTATTGGGTAATCCCACTGCACGTGTGCTGCACTGACAGACTTAATCAACGCCCACCTATGACGTGGGCCCCACCTCCGGCCTTACTTCCGTATAAATAGGAAGTAGGACCTACAATCTGCTCCCACTTTTCTTCAGCACTCCATTGCAGAAGCTTTGTCAGGCAAAACAAGTTCATTTCAGAGCTACTTACTAAAAAGCAAACATTCCTACTAAAAAGCTTTGTTTTTCTGGTAAGATGGAGACTGGGCAGGAAAGTCAAGGTTGCGTCAGGGATTGCCTCGTATGCGGGTCGGGCTACATTATGAGCTTTGACAGGCACTCACAGTGTGAGTCCTGCCTGGGAATAGAGCATGCGAACGCTCCTCTCACTCCCGGGTGTCATGCTCACATTGTGCCCGTCTCCCTCTGGCCCTCAGACAGCAGAGAGCGGATGCTCTCGCTGCTGCTGCGGCCGAGGATGATTGGCCCGTCCAGGAGGTGTACTCCGTGGACAAAGCCATTGATTTCCTGGATCCGAATGGCGGGCACGAGTCGGACTACTACGTCCCCTCCATTCATGGATCACCAGGTGATTCCCCCATCATCTCTCCCCTCCGGACGGAGGGGACAGATATGGGGCCCGGTGTAGGTCCGGCGTATGATCCAGTGATCCCTATCTCCGCCACCACGGCTCTGCCGTCGATTGGCGGAATTCTCCTGGAACTCCCGGAGATTATCTCTAAGGCCTGGAGAAATCTCCCCGTTCCCCTAGCTCAGGAGAGCTCGCCTCCGGATGATATGTCCGGGGTGTTCTCCTGGGTACACAGGGTCAGGAGTGACCCGATCTGGCCACGCTTCTCGGCCATTAGGAAGTACCAAGAGGGGGCGGCGGCGGACACTGGGGCAATGAAGGCTCCGGTAGGAACATACGTTCCCCTCACGAGAGTGGAGGGGTTCACGGATGTGGGGTTTCCGACCGTGCCTCCTCTAGAGCCGAACCTCACTGCGTTATTTGGGGCTAAGCAGGCCAGCACGGTTACCGGATGGCAACCCATGTTGGCTGCCCCCAAAGATCGGTTTGTCGCCCGGCAGACCGACCGCATACACCAGTGTGCGTTCCAGGCGTCAGTGGCGGCGAACAACATAGCGTTGCTGTCCAACTCCATGGTGGAAATGTTCAAGCAGTCGAAGACCATGTCCTCAGTGGAGGCTGAGGAGATAGGTAAGGCGGCCAGTACTGCACTTACCCTGTGCGCTTCAGTCGCAGTCTCGAAGGCGCGGATTGCGGCGTGGACGACGCAGGTCCACCGGTACCTCTGGCTACAGCAGGGGGCTATACCAGAAGGTGCAGGAAAGGATCTACTACACTGAAAAAATTGATACTTTGGACTAACTTAAAAAATGTTCGCTAATTTGTTACAGCTCATTTTTTTTGTTTATTCCAACTTGATTTTTCAACCTAAAAAAATTAAGTTGAGTTAAGTGAAAAATATTGCTTCTATCTAAGATATATATTTACATTCACACAAAGTAATAACATGATTCATTCTGAAGACCACACAACATGTATTACTTTGTTATAATTTAATTTTTCCTTTTGGACTAACCTCATATTTATATTAGATCTAAGTAGAGTTTTTAAGTTTGTGAAAAAATAAATAAAAAATACTTAATTTTGTTGCAGGCAATATTTTTTATTATAGCTTAAAATATTTTTATTTTATTACAAAGCAAACACTTGAATGTACATCAATACAATACTGTGTTTTGTTTACTGTAAACACATTACATTTGACTTATAACACTTTGTTTAGCTCAGTTCACATAAAGACAGGAATATTCTCTTCAAAAGACCTTAACATTTATTGGGATGTCTTTAAAATATGCCTCACCTATTCTGTTTTATAACATACAATATTTTTTTAATTAAACATAAATACATCAATAAATTAATAAAATTACTTGAGTAAATTATGCAACCAATTTGCACTTATGTAAAAAATAAATAAAAGTAAATCAAGATCACTTTGGCTTTTTTTTCTTCAAAACTCTCCTGTAGCCTTAACCAAATCCATCACAAATATGCATATGAGCATGTTAAACTAGCTTGCATATCTCTCCTTTAAAATGTAAATATGTAATGCGTTTAAACCTGGCGTTTAAACCTGGCTGCCTTTTATTTAAAGACTAATTACAACTTCAGATAAAAATGTATTAGCCATTAAGAAGGGTTTAAGTAGCATTACCAGAATCTGTGAAGTCACATTATTTTTTAACTTCAAATGAAACATACAGAGGCCAAAGCAATTAAGTAATGAAAAATGCAGTTCAATCCCTAGCATTGCAATCTTTGAACAAGGTTGGCCTTTTGTGTCAGTTCAATCATTTCAACCAGATACGAGTTATTGTAGAGACTGAGCTGGAGGGTGTGGACAAGATGTCAGTATCGTCTGATTGAGCAGACGCTGCTTCTTCACAGACGGTAAAGATGTATTCTTGGACACCATCATCAGGTATTGGAATGACCTTGATAGTTGTCAAATCTTCAAGGTCAGCCGTGGATGTCAGGTTGACTAGTGCATCTCCAATGTCTCTGTCTTGATATTGCATTCTAAAACGTCCACCTATAGAGTGCCACAGTGCCACCTCCTAAAACCCGGAAGTAAGTCAGCATTTTACCACTTCCGGTTCCTTCGACAAAAAAGCAATGCAATTTCTCCATAGGATTTTGGAAAATAGCTGGAAATAAGGTCTGTGGTTGACACACATTTAAGAGACGGATCACGTTTTGTTCAGCCGGATAATATCCACATGTCTACCCTACTTTTATAATTTTCGAATCATAAATCTATTGATCATAAATCCATCAATTAGATTTATGATCCGGCTGAACTAAACGTGATCCATCTCTTAAATGTGTTTCAACCACAGACCTTATTTCCAGCTATTTTCCAAAATCCTATGGAGAAATTGCATTGCTTTTTTGTCGAGGGAACCAGAAGGAGTTTACTTCCGGGTTTTACGACGCGTCACTGTGGCTCTCTATTTCACACACTTTCCTGACTTCATCAGTAAGTCCATTGTCTCTGGAATTCCATTAGGCAGAAGTAGCTTCCTGGTGTCATCGGGATTCAGAAGAATTTGTAACTTGGCTGGCGTTTTCACGGTCATGTCAGGCCAAAAGGAACTAGAAAAAACAAGAACATAAACAATGGTAATAGTGCAATGATACACTGACGACTGAATGTCAGTGTATGTCTCATAACAGTGACATGCCTGGAATGACAGAGCAAATGATTGCCACCAGTAGCTCTCAATAAACATACAGATGTGAGGATTGACTTTACATGCAACAATATTAATGAAGTGCAGTCTTGTATTTTTCATTTACTTGTACAATACATACTCTTTCTCATTTAACTTTAATATTTTAAATTACCTTACTTAAC